GGGCGTGGGGGTGCAGGAGTTGGGGGAGGGGCCTGGAAGATGTGAAGGGATTCAGGGGAGGGGTGGCTTGGATGAAGTGGGGCCACCTGCTGCCTTCTCCCCAGGGCCAGTTCAGACTGGTGGGGACTATGCAGGCTGCCTGCCTGCCTGCCAGTTTCTCCTCTGGGCCAGCCCGGGGTGACGGGCTATGGTGCCCATCCGGTGACTGGTTCCCAGGGCTGGGGCAGTTGCTGCTCCCCTGTAGTCGTTCAGGAGTATAATTGTCCCTGCTATCACAGCCCTCTTTTTCAGTTTAATGAGAAACAATCCCCATTCCACACACATCCCATTGTCCTGGCACAACCAAACCCTGACCTTGCTTTAAATTATAAGAGGAAGCTGCATGCCAAATTTAGTGGTTCTAGCTTCTACCATTTAGAAGGAGTTTCTGAGCAACCAGACTCACAGGTAGACTGACACACAGACAGACTACAAACTCTTTCAAATATATATTAGATAATTTAAAATACTCTTATTTTGTTGTTAGTCACTATTCTTCTACAAGGGCTATTAAATGTATTTATCAATTAGAAAAGGATAGCTGTGTACTGTTTCAGACTTAACTCAATATTTCTACATATTTTTATTAGGTTGATGCGTCAGGTGGGGATTGCATTCCTGAAATGGAAGTCCAGTCTTCATTTGAAAAATTTAGTCAGTCATCTGAACCAGTTTCCACATTCAACAGTGAAGAATTTGTCTTGGTTCATCAGCATCCTGAAGATCCTCGTGTAAAAGATGAGAAACCTCAACTAAAAGTACATTTATTTTTTGTCTCTTAAATGCATATTAAAAATCCCTTATACCTTGATTTATATTACAATTTATTTAAGTTGTTTTTGTTTGTGCAGATTCTGAAAATCCTTAAACCTTTTTCTTCTTCTTGTATACATTTGCAAAATGAACAGACCTGCATGAGCAAATCTGTTTGTCTAATGAAGACTGCAATCCATTCACTCTTAAGTCTTTACACTGCAGGTTATTTTTAGCCATTTGTGCATCCTTCTGATTTATGCAATTAACAAGAAACAAATTTAAAAACATCAGATTGGGAGATGGAAAATGGTGGCTTTATGCTTTACAGGTGTAGAATGCTGTTTTGCTGCTTTGTATATGAGGTCAAGATTAAGCTATGCATGTATACACTGCACTGCCTTTTGCCCTATTGAGCTGCCTTCCTCTTTCCCATGGGAAAGATACTCTTGAAGAATTTCACAGGGACTTCAAGAACTTCCACCCCACCATCAATCTCAGCCTGGATCAGTACACACAAGTATGCTTCCTTGACACTGCAGTACAATTAAATGATGGACAAATTTCTACCATTTCTACCATTTTCTACCTACTCCAGATCCCTACCCACCGCTACACTTGCCTTCATGCCTCTAGGTTCCATCCCAGACACATTTCTCAATCTACTGTGTACAGCCAAGCCCTAAAATACAACCGAATTTGCTCCAATCCCACAGACAGAGACAAACACTTATAGGATCTATATAGAGCATTCATAAAACTGAAATACCCACCCGGAGAAGTGAAAAAACAGATCAGTAGCGCCAAAAAAGTACCCAGACATGAACTACTTCAAGACAGGCCAAAAAGAGAAAACAACTTAATTCCACTTGCCATCACCTACAGTCCACAACTTAAACCCCTCCAACGCATTATCAACAATTCACAACCTGTCCTGGAAAGTGACCCCTCATTCTCAGGCTACGTATACACTACAATGCTCTATCAGAAAAAGGTACACAAGTTGTGCTCTGCAATTTGCGTACCTTTTTCCGATAATTTCCTTCAGAAGAAGCTTTTCTGAAATTTGGCCCGTCTACAGAAAAGGCTCCTCTTTCAGAAGAGCCCTTCTTCCTCATGGGAGGAGGAAGACAGGGCTTCCGAAAGAGCGCGTCTGCTCTTCTGCCAAAAGAAGTGGAAGAGCAGACGCATTCGTTGGACGTTGCGGAGTTTTTCTGGGATACATCTGGTATCCCGGAAAATCCCTGTAGTGTAGATAGTCTGAGGCCTTGGGGGAAAGGCCAATCCCCTAACCTCAAACAAATTCTTACCTGTTACCCCAAAAATATTCTGACTGGAGATGACCCAGGGTTACACTAGTATGGGTTTATTTCCACTAGGTAAAACTAAAGACAAGAAAGCATCCACAAAAGGTTTAAACTAAAGAAGATAGATCTCTAGACCAGAAGATAGACCAGGCAGTTCAGGTCACTTTTGTAGCTGGCATTGAGAGGTATTTACGTGCCAAACACACTCTACAATAATTAAATAAATAAGTAGATTAGCTGAAGAAGTGTTGCTTGGCAAAATGTCTCTTTAAAAAAGTAGAACAAATGTTAAAATATATTAACATTTTTCAAATATTTGAATAATTACTCTTCTGGTAAAGAAGCAACCGTTTAAGTCTCTTGTGTCTTTTCCTTTGTATAGATATTTTCAAATGGAGATGAACAGCTGGAGAAAGCCATGGAAGAGATACTAAGAGATTCTGAAAAAGGCCAAATAAGTTGTGCTACTGATTGTAAAGACTTCCATAATGCTTGCAGAGAGTCATCTGAAGATGTTTCAGACAGTCAGAGAAACCAGTCTTCTTTACATCTATTTCTAGACCCTTCCACTACAGGTATTGGTTAAAATATTTTTGAGTATGTAATGAAGTTATGGGATGAAACTGAGCAAAAGAAAAATTGGGATGATTATTTGAAGTTGATGTTCCCAGGAATCCCCAGACATAGTGCTGAGGGAGAGGGGAGAGAGTCTCTCACCTTTCTGAGATTCTGGACTTTTCTGGTCCTCCACCACCCACCCCCATTAGACTTTCTTTCTTTTTTTTAACTGTCCTCAGCTGATTACCTTGCTAATTGCTTAAATATCCAGTCATTTACAATTATCTTCTCAGTATGGCCCAGCCCCTTATGGAAATGCCTGCAGCTCATGGGGGAGGCGGGGGGGAACCTTAGGCTACTTTCACTCACAAGTAGGGAGAGATTGACACTAAATATGGAGTTATTTTCAAAATGTCTAAATTTTTTGGTAAATGATCACCCCATACTCACTCATTATTTCAAAAGCTTCACAAATGTAAAATAGCTGAGATTCAGGTCCTTGTGATTAATGTGTAGGGTAGCACGGCAGGGAGCCTTTTCAGTTAGAGAGAGATTTTTAGGTTTATTAATGTAGGCTTGCAGCTTTTAACTTGCACTAATTTATGCAATGGTTGAGAGATTTATTAACTTAAACGCACTAATTTATGCAATGGTTGAGAGATTTATTGTTAACTTAAATTTTCTTCGTTTTCAGAAATCTCAGCACCTAACCCATGTTCCCCTAGTGAACCACCAGAAGAGGACAGTGTATTATTTAACAAACTTACGTACCTAGGTTCTATGAAGGTTTCTGCTCCTCGCAGTGAGTCAGAAGCTCTACATGCTATGGCAACTTTGAAATCTTCATGCCAGTCCTCTCTTCCTGTGACTCTCTATGTTCCGAATATCGCAGAAGGCTCTGTAAGGTGAACTACAGTGGTACTTCATACTGATGTAGACACAAAGAGTTCAGATTTTTACTTGGGTTACAAATGCCAAGCTTCCAGTAAAGTTGAATTGCGTAGGTCTGTCCAAAACCATAATTTGTCTCTCACACTGTTCGCTGCAGAATATGATATAATGAATACAAATCAAGGATATTTAAACCAGCAGGTAAAATATCCCAGTGGGGGAAAAATTCGTAAGTGGAACTTAGAATCTTGAATCCTTTCATTAAACTAATTTTATTGTGTAAGGGCGGCAGGGAACAGTCTCACAAACTCAATCTCCCTGGTGCATTGAATGAGAGAAAAATCTGTACCTTCTCTTTATTTTCATGTGCATTTGAAATATTCTAGATTAACAGATTACACTGTATAACGAGAAATATTCAGCCTTTCCACACCTAAAATTGAAATCAGTGAAAATTGCTTTTGAGAATTTCCTGAGTGTACTGTATTTTTATAACTAGAAGCATGCTCAGATTATTAGCATTTTCTTATATACAATGGTTGTAACTGAAGACAAAAATCCTATATGCTCAATAAATGGAATATTTTCAAAGACTTCAAAAAGTAATACGTACTTGCAGAAGGAGAGTTGCAAAGATTCTATTGCTGACCATTGTGTAGGGCTATCACAGAAATTATGAACTGAAAGAATAGCACTAATCTATGCCAATAATCTTTTGAGAGTGTAGTTACACATGTTCAATGAGATCTTGGTACTGTGAACCAAATTCAGAACTGAAGTCAGTGGGCACAGATCCTGTTGATTTCAATGAAAGTTTTATCTGCTTCATATTGGTTTTATACCTATTGTGCTTGAGCTTAACTCTGTAAATACAGTAGAATATACATGTGCATATCGTAGGTCTTATTGCAAAAATAAAGATCCTTTACTTTTTTTTCCCCCCACAATGAAATTATATTTTTTAGGGAGCTTGCCTCCTTTGGAAAAGGCCCACCTTTTTGTTAGCTTTCCATTTCTGACTCTGCTTTTCATTGTTACTGTAGTCTGTTTTCCTGGTACATTGTTCCTCAAAGCAAAACCAAATAAAATTACCTTCATTAAATACATTCTGAATGAACAAAATCTTTCAGTTATCTGGTTTTCCAACACAATACAATATTTATTGTTCCTGTTCTTGATGGAACCACAAGGTGGTGCGTGTAAATATTTCCAAGGCTAATATATAATTGGAAATGACACGACCTTCCTCAATAATGAGACTGCAGGTCTAGACAGAAGCAGACTGTGAAGAACTTCAAAAAGATCTCACAAAACTGAGTGATTGGGCAACAAAATAGCAAATGAAGTTTAATGTGGATAAGTGTAAAGTAATGCACGTTGGAAAAAATAACCCCAACTATACGTACAGTATGATGGGGGCTAATTTGGTTACGACAAATCAGGAAAGAGATCTTGGAGTTATCGTGGATAGTTCTCTGAAAACTTCCACACAATGTGCTACAGCGGTCAAAAAGGCAAATAGAATGTTAGGAATTATTAAGAAAGGGATAGAAAATAAAACCCAGAATATCTTACTGCCCCTGTATAAAACTATGGTACGCCCACATCTTGAGTACTGTGTACAGATGTGGTCTCCTCACCTCAAAAAAAATATTTTGGCCTTGGGAAGGGTTCAGAAAAGAGCAACTAAAATGATCAGGGGTTTGGAACAGGTCCCATATGAGGAGAGGCTAAAGCGACTGGGACTTTTCAGTTTGGAAAAGAGGAGCCTGAGGGGGGATATGATAGAGATATATAAAATCATGAGTGGTGTGGTGAGGATGAATAAAGAAAAGTTATTCATTAGTTCCCATAGTATAAGGACTAGTGGACACCAAATGAAATTAATGGGTAGCAGGTTTAAAACTAATAAGCGAAAGTTCTTCTTCACACAGCGCATAATCAACCTGTGGAACTCTTTGCCAGAGAAGGCTGTGAAGGCTAGAACTATAACAGAGTTTAAAGAGAAGCTAGATAAATTTATGGAGGTTAGGTCCATAAAAGGCTATTAACCAGGGGGTAGGAATGGTGTCTCTGGAAATGGATGGCACAAGACAAATCGCTTGCTCATTGTGTTCGGTTCACCCCCTCCGGGGCACCTGGTGCTGGCCACTGTCAAATGGGGGTTGTTTGTCTTTTACTGATATTTTTGAAGAAGATATTTGTCAGTTCTCACCATTATTTGGCATTTCAGCAGCATACTGCATAACAGCCTACATTTCAGACTAAATTTCTTCTCAGGCAATTTAAGATTTTTGTAACTTGCTGAATTTCTGAGCCTGTATGTACACAGTTGCTGTGGTTTCTAGTTAATCAAGCCATTTGATTCTAATGAAGAACTGCACAGCAGTGATTTTATGATGAATATTGGTTCTGTTATAATTTGGGGTACTATGTTTCCTATTTTATTTTTATATACATTTATTAAAATAAACTTAGTTGAAAATTAACATTTTTCTTTTTTACATTTCCTAATTGTATTTTAATGTTGGGTGCTTGCATAATGTTATAATATCGATAGTAGCTCATTCAGTTACAGAAAGAAGCTGGTGGGATATCTTTAAGTTCCAATTTATTTGACTAATTTCACATTTGTCACTTCTCCCTATAGAATAATAGACCAAACCACCAATTTGGAGATAGCCTCTTTTCCAATCTATAAGATATTATTCTGTGCACGTGGACAAAATGGAACTGCAGAGAGTGACTGCTTTGCATTTACAGAGAGTTATTGTGGAACAGAGGAGTTTCAGATTCATGTTTTCTCCTGTGAGATTAAAGAGGCAGTAAGTAGAAAATATTATCACCATTACTTGTTTATTGAGCATCATAAAAGTACTTTCTGTAATGTTCTCATTTTTTAAATATATGCTGTCACATGCTATCATGTACAATCAACCTCAGTACTTTGGCATGTGTGCAGTGTATTTCACAAGATGTGCAGTTTGTGTTCTGTATATTAAATAATTTAGGAAATTACTTTAATAACTTTTACCAAAATTTAGATCTTCCGTGGGTACTATCCAAACACAGTGCTAGTTTATAATGTACTGTACTCCAATGTAATGGTGAGATTTGGGAGATAATCCTTTGCTCCTGCTTTGAGTCTGGATTCATATTACAAAGAGATAGTGTGCTTGGACCCTGAAGTCATTAAGAAACATCTTAAGTATTCCCCCAGTAGTAATTCCTTTAGGTGGTTAAAGAAGAGCAGTTGGACATTTGAAAGAGCAGACTTATGCTTTCCTTGAGTTAATAATGATTAGCACAATATTAGGTCTTGGGGATTCAGACAGTAAAGAAAAAAACCCCACATTCTTTACTTTTTACAGGACCTGACAGATACAAACAGTAAGCAGTACAGATTTGTCAATGTGAAATGTAAAAAATAATTGAAATAACAAAGTCTGCAGGTCATTTAGCAACAAAATCATGTCCATCAGCTGTGTAAGCCAGAGGTGTTTCAACCTTTTTTCACTTGTGGACCTTTAAAATTTTGAATGAAGGCATGGCCCCCTTTGGAAATTCAACCTGTGGTCCACAGATCCGTACCATAGTAGTCTTAAAGTGAAAACTGACTGAACAGAATTCCACTATGAATGTTTCATATGCTCAGTGTGGCATTTGACACAACATGGAAAAGGGTTTTAAACTAATGAGGTTTAAGACAGCCCCCAACTTAAACCTGTCCAACACTTTATCAATAAACTACAACCTATACTGGAACAGGATACTAAACTCCGAGAGGCTCTGGGAGACAGATCCATAGTTGCCTATTGACAACCACCTAACCTCAAGATGATTCTTACCAACAACCACAGGACATACCACACTAATACCAACCCTGGAATCTTCCCTTGCAACAAACCCCGTTGCCAGCTTTGTCCACATATTCACTCTGCTGATACCATTATTGGACCTAACTAATTGAGCTATAAGATCAAGAACACATATTCCTGCTCATCCAGAAATATAATTTATGCTATCATGTGCCGAAAGTGTCCGTCTACTTACATTGGACAAACGTCTCAGACACTTCACCAAAGAATCTATGCCCACAAAACAGATATTAGACAGGATCACAAAGAAAAAACAGTTTCTTGCCATTTCAACCAGAAAGGACAGTGTCTCAACGACTTGATTACCTGCATCCTGCTTCAAAGACCTTTTCACACCAGACTTGAAAGAGAATCCTCTGAACTGTCATTCATGCTTAAATTCGACACTTTACGCCTCGGTCTAAACAAAGACATTAATTCTCTTACTCATTACAAAGATAGCTTCCCCAATTATCACCTCTAATATCATTAGCTCACTGACATTTACCTTCCCCCACCCCCACCCCCCCACACACATCCTCCTTCTGTACTGAAATTTGATTTGTCCTTTTCATATGTGTTCATTTTTTTTTATTGTATCCTTTGGTATATATGGTTGTGCCATTTTCTTCCACTATTTGATCTGAGGAAGTGGGTCTGGCCCCTGAAAGCTCATCAGCTAATAAACCATCTTGTTAGTCTTTAAAGTGCTACATAGTCCTGTTTTTTGATTTTTATAGTCACCTTTCCTGGGCTGCTTAGACCAGTGTTTCCCAATTGGTGCTCCGGGGAACCGTGGGGATCCGTGAAGTGAAAGCAAGGGTTCCGGGAAGACCTGGCACTCCCCCGCCCCCTGTTAGAGACAGAGCCATGGCGAGGGCTTTTTTTTTTTTGCTCAACGAAACGCGGCGGGGACCCTTTTTTTTTTTTTTTAAGACAACTCTAGGGGTTCCGTGGCCAAATAAAATTGGGAAACACTGACTTAGACATATTTTGTGGACCACATGTTGAAAACCTGGTATAGCCAAAACTTGCTGGCTTAATAATAATTTGAAATATTGCATCAGAAGCGCACAAAAACCCTCAACAAACTCTTTTATTAAACACTTGAATGAGGGAGGTGGAGAGGAAAAGAGAAGAAAGATTCCTTCTCTCTTTTGATTTTATTCTTGGCTGTATCCTTTTAAGAATTTCAAAAATATGCTTGCTGAGAAATTATCCCTTATGAAAGTATCACAACTGTGTATATTCTCCATAGGAAGATGAATGAATAGCATCAGTGCTGTTATTCTTTTTTTGTCCTCCCTTTTTCAGGTCAGCAGAATTTTATATAGTTTCTCCACAGCATTCAGACGGTCTTCCAAACAAGCTGCAGATCATGTAAAGGACTCTGTTCCTCCTTCCCCAGATAGTGATGTATTTACTTTCAGTGTCTCCTTAGAGGTCAAAGAAGATGATGGTAAAGGAAATTTCAGGTAATTTAAAAAATGGAGAAAAAATAGAAACCTCCATAAAACATGCACAGCTGTTTTGAGGGGTCTGTGGCTAACCAGCATGTAATGAAGCAGCTAGTTTTGGGTTAAATTTTTTTTTCTGTATGCTGATTTTTGCTTTGAGATTATTGGTTTGTTATTCTTACTTACATTTTTTTAGAAGCCCAACCTGATTAAAAAATAACAAGCAATGTAGCAAAACCAATATTAATCAGCTTTTAACAGTTTAAATCCTTGTTCTTGGTAGACATACTCAAGTGTACCTATGAAACTTGGAAAGGTAGTTGAGGTCTAAATTTGTACCAGTGTTTTCTGGGGTTTCTTTCAGTACAGTTATTTAACTCATTTACTTGAGTTTTCATAAGCTAATACATTTGAATCAGCATGTTGAAGGTACAGAAGCAAATCTTGGAAAAATGTCTTGAAGCACTGTAGAGGTGGGAAAGGAAGCTAATTTCACTAAGCATGAGCAGCATTCTCTTAATACAAGTCTTGTTTGGGTAAAATTTAAGACATTACAGATAAGTGGTAATTTGGATGGAAAGGGATAATAATGGGAATTTTTTGTTTTGTTTAACACTTATTGCTGCTTTTATGTTTTGCATGGTACCTAACTTATGGGCACCAAATATTCTTATACTGTATCTTAACTACTGATTGAGAAGCAGTCATAAACTGTAGTGGATAAATATATCTATAATAGCATCTACAGACATGAAACATACAAAAATTTAGGCCCCTAAGAGTGGGGCCAAAGATTGGTACTGAACAATGATTGCAGACGTGAGTGTTACTGGTAGAACTAAGTGGAGGGAGGGAGGCGGGTTATCACTAGAGCTCTGTGACTTTTCACAAGTAAAAAGTAACACAACATAAAATGAAATAAAAAACCTACCCAATGTTGAGGGTTCCCACTATTCCTGTCCCATGGGTTAACCAGGCCAAAACCCATTAGCTCTGCATCCCTGGGGACCAGATCACAACCCCTGGAGTGGGTAGCCATGCCCATCTCTCTGGGGTCAATGAAAGGTGACTTCATTTTGTAACACGTCCCACCAAGACTTCCCAATCCAAGACTGTGGGTGTGGGCGTGAGGAGAGATGTCCAAACATACTTCCCCTGGGCCTTGCATAATAAAATAAAACAAAATGTCCAACATATAAAATAAAAATAGCTATCACCACATCATCTAATAGTTATATCTATGCTAATGGAACTAATTCCTTCTTTTTAGCCCTGTGCCAAAGGACAGAGATAAATTTTATTTCAAATTGAAACAGGGAATTGAGAAGAAAGTTGTGATCACAGTCCAGCAACTCTCAAACAAAGAATTGGCCATTGAAAGGTAAGCATGATATAAAGTAAAACAGGGTAAGTGTGGGAAAATGGTCCCTAATGTGCTTATCATCCCCCTCACAAAATAGCTGTGATTCAGTGGAACTTTGTACATTATGTACTAATTTAATAATGTATATGTACTAAATTTTGACTTGGAGTGTTAATGAGCTAACTTCTGTACGTGGCATCAGTCAACTAGAGCGCCAAATATTTGGTCCTGTGCTGAGAACTTTTGGTGAATTCATCCCATAGTAGCGAGTATTGGTCTTAATGTGCTGAACTAACTCCAAAAATGATAGATTAGCTAAAAGGTGCTTGGCCACTAGTAACCACTTAATTTATATTTTTCTATTCCTTTGGATAGCTAAGAATAAAAATATAAGGTGAGTAGTTACTAGTGGATAAGCACCTTCTGGCTAATCTGTCACTTACGGAATTATTTCAGAGTGTTAAAACCAGTATTTGCTACTATGGGATGGATATAGCAAATGTTAGCTGAGCACAGAACCAAACTCTTGGAGCTACAGTTGATCGGGTCCCATTTTTTAAAAATCTATATGTTGGGTAAAGATTTGGCCACTTACTTTGGTTCCTGAGGTGTGTGGAGGGAAAGGCAAATAACTTCTGAAAATCTCACCGATTGTCCTTAGACAGGGCTTCTCATTCTGCTTCATCTCTTTGTTGTGTTTTTAGGTTTGCCTAGAATTCTTTGTGTATTATGCCATTTAACTGCTTTTGATGTTGCTTAACATGTCAAGTATATGGACAAAATATAGTACTGTAGATCATCACACCCTTTTGTATGTTCCTATTGAAATTCTGACAGCCATACCTGCTAAAGCCATATTTGCTATGCTAACAACTTAAAAAACAGAAATGGTGGTGAGCTAGCGTCTCACTGCATTAATAATGGGATATGAATCTTTCTTCAGTACCTTAATTTCAGATCCAACAAGCTGTGAGCTGGCATTAATGCCATGATGTCCATTAATTGGAATTCTTTCATTCATAGGTTTTCCGCTTTGCTTTCTTCCATGGAAGTCTCGACTGTTCAGATGTGACCATGATTTTTTTTAAAGCCTTTCTTTTTGATATTTTCTGTTCCCAAGGATTGTTTTGTTCTTGATTAACAGTTTGATGAGTGTACAAAGTATGTTTGATATTTGAATATTGGTGCTGCTTTTTTGCCTTAAAGAAATCCAGATTTGTGATGAACTTTGTAGTTTTCTGTTTCATTTCTTCAGATTCATGTTTCTCTGCAATTGTAACAGGTGTGAAGCCTGCCTATTTGTGGTCTTATTTAAAATTAGTCTTAGAAGGTTGTTATTCATTTTAGCTTGAAGTTTTATGAGAACATGCCTCCTATTGGATGGATAAGCCCACCTTCCTCCTGTCTGGACTATAATGTCTGTGCAAGGTCCTATGATCTCTCATTATCCATACAAAGCTTGAATTCTTGATTTTGTAATTTCTTTTAATTTTACAATTTTTGGACAATTTTATTAAAATAATGTAAAATAATATGCATTGACTATGTACAAATAATGGTCTAATTAGTAAGAGGTAGAAATAAGCACAAGAATTGTATTGACCATGTTCTTAGGCACTAAGACTGTTCTTTGGAAGGTTTTTGTATAATTGGTTCACTCTTGGTGTGCATATGCCCCACGTATGCGAGACTGGATTCTTTTGGCTATTATTGTCTGATGCTGTGCCTGCATACTACATTTTTTTGCAATCCTCCTCCTCTACCTGCAGACAGTGAAGAGTGGTCTACTTGCTTCCGTGTGCACTAATGTTAGTAGGTACTAATATTGTTAATTAGTTAGTCATTAGTCACTTCCCACAAGCCCCAACTTTTTAGTCAGAAATTCAGTTTATAGCAAGGACCACTATATACAGGGTCTCTGAGAATGACAGAAGCAAATTCCCTGGTGTTCAAAACATGTCTCCTTTGTGTGAAGTGTCAATAAGTGCATGTATTCTGCAGAAAACAAAACAAAACTCTTCCTTTTCTCAGAGCCTCTGTCCAATGACTGTGGTTTGTGGGGCTTGTGCTCCATGTTTAAAAATAGCAGCATAGATGTTCCCACACAGTCTCCGAGACCCACCCCACTCGCTGGCTTTCAGAGTCTAATCACCAGCCTGAGAGGGAACATCTAAATTGCTATTTTTAGCCCTAAAGCAGACTTGGAGACTTGTTGCTGCAGGATTTTTGTGTATTTTGAGGCGTAGAGCTAACTGGTCCTCTTTTGTTTCGGAGAAGGACATTTTCTTGAGTGATGGTTCAATATATTCCCCTTTCTTTAAATGGACTAAAAAGCTATGGGCCCGCCTAAATTTATTCCTCATTGCTTTAAATGGACTAAAAAGCTATGGGCCTGCCTAAATTTATTCCTCATTGAGTGATATCTACATGTGACTGGATGCTAAAAAGAAGGATGTGACTCAACCTTAGTCTTGCTGCCAGTTCCTTGTCATGAGTGTGTCAGTAAGGGAGATCCCACCCTGAGCTCCTGTTATATTGACCAAGAGGCCCCAGTTCTCTGCCTCCATTTTGATGTGTCTGACCTCAGAGAAGGGTAGGAAGGAGCACTGCTCCAAATATGTGCTAAGGTGCAAGTCACTCTTGCCTTCTGACTCTTATGTTCTTCTTTGAGTGCTTGCTCATGCCCATTCCAATTAGGTGTGTATGGATTCCAGAGCTTTTCCCCTTAGCAGTACCCATTGGGCCAGCCAGGGAGCCCCTGGAGTGCCTCTAGCATATTGGTGCATATATACCCCTGCTGGCCCCTCACCCCCTCAGTTCCTTCTTACCACCTGCCAGTGAGGGTAGCTGGAGCATCCTCAAGACTGATAGTCTTTATCCTTAGGCTGTATATAGTTCTTTAGATCTTTAAGTGTTGTTTCTCTCAGTTAATCAGTACCTCATTAGTTTCTGTAAATATTTTTAGATAAGAACAGTTTCTCCCCTCCAGCTTCTCCCCAACTGGGGAGGGGATGCCAAGGCTGATGCTCCTTCAGCCCCACTGGTTAACCTTAATCAGAGAGTCTCACCTGTTCAGGGTAAGGCTTACTGGTTTACCAGTTAAACGTTCACATCCCAAATAGGGATGGGGCGCTTACCTGATGCTCTGCAACCCTCACCACTTCCAGCACTGCCCCCGTTCCCCGCCTCCTGCCTGTTGCTGTGAGAACTGTGGGGAAAAGTCTCAGCAGAGCATGTTGCTCACTACTATTCTCCCAGCTGGGCAGAGGGGAAACAGCAGTGCCTCCCTGCCAGATTCTGTACCATGGGTGTTCCTGAATTTACAGAGGTTACAGTGTAGTAGCATTAAAATATCCACCAGATGGCAGACTTTCCAAAAAAATTTAAATACGTCTCATATATAGTAAAAAAGTTGAAGCAAGTGATCAAGAGAGTCTCAGCACAAAATATTAAAAAAAAACTTGAAAAAGACATGTCTTATTTTCTTCTAGATTTGTAGTAAAATTAAAATTCTTTAGAAGGTTAGAGTTTTCTTAAAAATTACTTTTCAACTCTATTGTATGATTTTCTGTAGCCTGAAACAATTTTCCTGTTCTTCAGGAGCTTTTTTTTAAAAAAAAAAATAACTAAAAATTGGATTAAGAAAAAAAAGGTATAGAATAATTTGGCCTGTAAATCCACTCCTGGTGTCATGATGCAACTTCATCTCTGTACCCAGTAACTGTCTATAAATGGTGTATCCAATATAGCATTAAAATATAGATCTGGAGATTATATAACCCTTTCTTTGTTGTGGGAGTGGGGATATTATGATAAAGTTTGTAGTTGCATAATCCCACACTACCTAATTTTTCCAAAGGATCCCTGCCTTATTCATCATGCAGCCTGTTGAGAGGAAGGATACAAGAGGTTAGAATTAAAGTTTTATGGGCAACTGTAAACCTGGTATTCCCTACTCTTTTGAGTGTTTGAATTTGCAGACCTTAAAGAACGTAGTTTTTATAGGAATATACATATATGTATAAAATGACAAATCATTAATTGTAAAGCTAATTCTAATTTTAGTATTTACCCAGGGTTTTGTTTATAACCACATAAGTAAAAAATGGTTACACATATTTTACTTCTACTTCACACAATTATTGTTTAAAGTGAAGCAAGCCATGGAAAAGTTCATCCTTAAAGTTTGAGTAGGGAGTACAACAATACAAAGGTTTTGTTAGACAGGAATTATGCTTTTTTATATGAGGCCTTGCAGATTACATAGCTGACCCTAGCTGGTCAGTTCTTCACTTTCTTGCATTTTAATGGATGTTTTGGAAAGGAAGTAATTAGTGTTCCTTTCTGTCTTTCAAAACTGAGAATTTATGCTTCTGGTGAGGGTACATAAGAATAATATGTAGTTGAAACTCATACAGCAAATTCCTCTATAGGAGGCTATTCTGATCAGCAAAGAGCTAAGTTTCTTTACACCCAACACGATCCTGTGTAGTATTTTGTCTCCATCAAATTGGAACATAGTTCTGTAAGACTGCATGTGCTAATAATTTCCTCTTGGGGGTAGTGGATGAAAGTGATTTTGGATTAATTAATGACTGGCTCATGTATGATCCTCTGAGTCCTTGCAGCTCTTAGCAGCCAGTGACAGTTCAGGAATAGTCGTTGCATTAGTGCCTAATTATTTAGTTTTTACAAAAATGAAATTGCCTCGAGCTGATTACTCTTTTCTTCGAACAGTGTATATTCTTGGGGAAACACTAGGAATTATTGAATTGAAGATTGAAATATTCTTTCATTTCTAGAGACAGTGGGCTTGACTTGACCTCAGTTACAAATGCATAATAATTCCATTTACTTCTGTAGAGAGGGTCTGATTTGCACCAGTATAATTGAGGTTAGAATCTTGGCAGCTATCATTAGATCATGAGTGCAGAATATCAGATGGGAGCTGTAATCAGAATCTTGGCAGCTATCATTAGATCATGAGTGCAGAACATCAGCTGGGTGCTGTAATAGAAGGACTTAACTGTGGTGTCGTGCATATTATGTTAAAGCCACTGGGCTTACACATGGATAAGGCTTGCTGTGTAAATGGAAATTTATATTAATTTGAAGATGAGCTCAGTTTGTTTTCAGGGTGGTCCTGGTGCTACATACAACTTGTGGCATTTATGCAGAGTTGCACATTTCTCTCTAACACCATTGTCTTCAGTTGGATTTTGTGCAGATATAGTAACAAGCTGTGGGATTGGGGCCTAATAAGACAACCAGCAGTTTTAAATTGTCTGTCTGTCTTTCAGTTTCACTTATCTCCTTTCTGGTAATCATACTTACTGTTTTTATGTACTCCCTTGCATTGTGAAGCCAGCGTGGTTATTGTTGATCTTTTTATACTCTATAATAATACATTTTAAAGAGAGGAAAAATATAATTTTGGATATAAATTACTACCACGTCTTACTTATATAATGAAGCAGAAAAAAGAATATCACATGCATGCAATGAATAAGAACAAACTTTGTTAATAGGGTAGTGATCACTTAGGTAGAAAACCTGTGTTTGTAACAGTTTTTAATGAAATGATATACACTTTGCTAATATAATTGCATTGTTTATTACATCTCTATTCATAACACACTATGCTCACCACAATATTAATTAGTTAGCTGTCAGTCATTTGAAAATTATGAAACTGCTTTTGTGGTATCCTGTGAATATAAATGTCTAAACTGTCTATTCCTTGTTATCCCTATTTGTTGTAAAAATCTAAATTTTTGTGAGACAGTCAAACCTTTTTTCCATTAGAGAAAATTAGGCTATTGTGCAAAGGAAAACTGTCAAAAAATAATAAAATATTGTCTGTGCTTTTTATAATTCAGCCTGTTACTAATACTGCTCAGATAGTTTCTTGATAGTGAGATCTAGTTTAAAAAATGTTCTATGTAATATTGCCCACAGTTTGCCCATTATAAATATGCCTATAGCTAACCACTCTATTTGTGGTGGTTTGGATTCCAAGAGGAAGGATTTACTAAGGATTTTTTTAAACTGTTTTTGTGTCCTTATCCTGTATAAAGGAAGCCTGAAAGGAATATTTAAAAAAGTATGTTCTACTTTTTAGGCACATTAGGGAGTATTGATGCATATTAAGCTTGTTTTTTTCCAGCTTTTGCTTGAGTGTTCTTATGGATCATAGAGGAAGTTTTTATTTTGTTTTGTTTTTGTTTTTTAAATGTATTCTTTATAGAAAGATTGCTTTGTGGATCAGGCATCAGAGTGGGATTCAAGAGTTTGGTTCAGTGCAGACTCATGTCTAATCTTAGGCAAATCACTTGTTCTCGCTTGGAATGTCTACACTAAGCCAGAATCTGTAGCACCCAAAGCTTGTGATCTGGGTGTTTCCAAGCCTGAGCTTGGGCATCCACATTGCATTGTAAACATGGGTTTACAGTTGGAGGACCTGGCTCTCATAGGTGTGTTGATGCATCCATGCTGCACTATGCAGAGTTTCTGACTTGGGTCTGCTGCTTGACCTGCATCCACACTGCAGAATGACAGGGCTTGGACCTGACACATAGTAGGACTTAGACTTTGACTCATCTTCATAGTAGGATCCTAGGGCCTGGGTTCTAAGTGCTTGCTGACCAGAGTCAAGACTGAGTTGTGTGTGGACAGAAGTGGGGTTTGGGGTGAAACTTGAGTTGGAGACTGGGCTTAGTGTGCAGTCTAGACATACTCCCAATACTTCAGTTTCCGAAGTGTAAAATGGGGATGGTAAATACTTTTTGTATGTCTGTTTACGTTTCAGGGTTTCTAAGTCAGGGTGCTGTCTTTTGTTATGTGTAACGTAAACAGGGGGTCCTGATCTCAGTTGTCACAGCTGCAGCCTGGTACAATATGTTTTGTTAGCTCATGTAACTTATTTGAAGGGCCTGGAGTACTGAGCATAGAAAAAGGATATACTTTCTCCCAAATGGTCAGAGAGGTGTGCATTCATACATGTGCATAATATTTAAAGGTTTATACATTTTATAACTTAATCCTTTCCCCTTTGAGTTGCTCAAATTTGAACAAAACTGTTCAGTTCATATGATGTATCCATAAAGAAATACAGAAAAAGGAATCTAGCCCAGTGTTTTTTCTCCTTTACAATTCAAATTTAAAGATAGCAAGTAACATGGTACTAAAACAGGGAATGAATGGAAAAACCTTTTCATTTTTAAGGAACACATACTATATTATAAAAGGCGGAAAGGAGCATTAGAAATAGTATTTAATCCTCTGTACAAAAATAGGTTAAGCTTTTGATATATATTAGGGATGTGAATGACTAGTAGACTATCAGTTGACAGACTAGTTGACGAGTCACTCCCCCCCCTTGCTGCTTCTTATCAGAAGGGGAGGAGGTGCTTCAAAGCAGCAGTGCTGCACTGAGCCTGGGGCCAGATCCTGGGCTCCACATGGCATAGCCACTTTGAAACACGGTGTGTAGCCCGGGGTTAGCTGGGGACTCCCCCGCTGATCCCGGGCTCCATGCAGCACTGCCGCTTTGAAACTCCACGGGGAGCATGGGGCCAGTGGGGGACTGATTGAGTACCCCACTAGCACTGTGCTCCCCCTAATACTTTTACCTTTGAAGTCTTGCTACGCTTCAGAGGTGGAAGCACCCTTATCGACTAATCAAATAGTCGATGCAGATTGCATCGATTGTTCAATTGCCAATGAATCTAAACTTAACATTCCTAATATATATTCCTTGATGTGGTGCAATATTGAATATGTTGCTTTCAGTCTCAAATTCTTCCTGTGTACCAGGACTGTTTTACTAATTAAACTAGATATGTTAAGCTTTATACTTATTTAAGAAAGGTTGGCTGTTCAGAAGAGAAATTAATACTTGATTTTGCCTTTATCATTTCAGTAGACCATTTCTTGATCATGTCTAGTATATGTGGTAGCATTTTCTTAATATGTGTGATAACAGTACAAGCACCAATTTCCTGTAAAAACGATTCTCCTACTTAAAGGGAAAATACTGGGTGATTTCTCTCATGTACACACTCAAGAAGGTATTGCTGTACTTTTCAGTCACTTAATGTCTTTAATTTTTAAAAATCTTTGCAGATGCTTCGGGATGCTGTTAAGCCCAGGTCGAAATGTGAAAAACAGTGACATGCATCTACTTGATATGGTAATAATCATGTTCTCTAACAAATTAGAGGCTATGGGGTGCAGTTTTCTGTTCCCTTTTGAACATTTGAGATGTTGCCTTGGGGAAGAAAGCATATCTAAAAGAATTAAGTGGACTTTATATGCAAAGATAAGAAATTAAAAAAAAAAAACAAATTCAGATGCGCCAGCTGTGACAGTGTCTCTTTATGGAAGAAAATAACCTATACTTAAAGGTGGAGGAGCTTGATTCGTGAGCTGATGCTTAATTCTTACGTCTTAGAAGTAATTGGTCTTTCAAGTATTATGCTAGGCATATATGCAAAAAAAAATTCAAATATTGGTAATTTAAAATGAGCTATGTACATTCATAGAATCACAGAATACTAGAACTGGAAGGGACGTTGAGAGGTCATTGAGTCCAGTCCTGTGCCCTCATGGCGGGACCCACTACCATAGACCATCCCTGGCAGATGTGTATCTAACCTGCTTTTAAATATCTCCAGAGATGGAGTTTCCACAACCTTCCTAGGAAAATTAATTCCACAGTGTTTAACCATCCTGACAGTTAGGAAGTTTTTCCTAATGTCCAGCCTAAACCTCCCTTGCTGCAATTTAAGCCCATTGCTTCTTGTCCTATTATCAGAGGTAAAGAAGAACAATTTTTCTTTCTTGTCCTTGTGACACCCTTTTAGAGACCTGAAAACCGCTGTCTTATCCCTTCTTAGTCTTCTCCTTTCCAAACTAAACAAGCCCAATTCTTCCAGTCTTCCTTCATAGGTCATGTTCTCTAGATCTTTAATCATTCCTGTTGCTCTTCTCTGGACCTTCTCCAATTTCTTCACATCTTTCTTGAAATGCGGTACCCAGAACTGGACACAATACTCCAATTGAGGCCTAATCAGCGCAGAGTAGAGAGGAAGAATGACTTCTCGTGTCTTGCTCACAACACTCCTGTTAATGCTTCCCAGAATCCTGTTTGCTTTTTTTGCAACAGCGTCACACTGTTGACTCCTATTTATCCACTATGATGACCTCTAGAATCCTTTCTGCAGTACTCTTCCTAGACAGTTGCTTCCCATTCTGTATGTGTGAAACTGATTGTTCCTTCCTAAGTGGAGCACTTTGCATTTGTCCTTATTAAACTTCATCCTATTTACCTCAGACCATTTCTTCAGTTTGTCCAGATCATTTTGAATTATGACCTTAGCCTCCAAGACAGTTGCCAACCCCTCCCAGCTTGGTATCCTCTGTGAACTTAGTAAGCATACTCAATATGCCACTGTCTAAATCATTGATGAAGATATTGAACAGAGCTGGTCCCAAAACAGACCCCTGCGGAACCCCACTTGTTATGCCCTTCCAGCAGGATTGAGAACTGTTAATAACTACTCTCTGGGAATGGATACCCAGCCAGTTATGCACCCACCTTATAATAGCACCATCTAAGTTGTATTTGCCTAATTTACTGATAAGATGATCATGCGAGACCATATCAAATGCCTTACTAAAGTCTAGGTATACCACATCCACCATTCTCCCTTATCCACAAGACTCATTATCCTATCAAAGAAAGCTATCGGATTGGTTTGACATGATTTGTTCTTTATAAGTCTATGCTGGCTGTTACCTATCACCTTATTATCTTTCAGGTGTTTGCAGACTTGCTCCATTATCTTTCCTGGTACAGAGGTTAAACTGACTGGTCTGTAGTTTCCTGGGTTGCTCTTATTTCCCTTTTTATAGATGGGCACTATATTTGCCCTTTTCAAGTCTTCTGGAATCTCTCCTGTCTTCCATGATTTTTCAAAGATGATAGCTAAAGGGTCAGATACCTCCACTGTCAGCTCCTTGAGTATTTTAGGATGCATTTCATCAGGCCTTGGTGACTTGCAGGCATCTAACTTTTCTAAGTGATTTTTAACTTAGAAAAGTGTTCTTTTTAAATTTTATCTTCTAAACCTGGCATCTTCCCACTAGCATTCACTATGTTAGGCATTCCTTCTTCAGCAGACTCCTTGGTGAAGATCGAAACAAAGAAGTCTCTGCCATTTCCAGGTTTTCTATTATTAAGAGCAGAAGAACATAAGAATGGCCATACTGGGTCAGACCAAAGGTCCATCCAGCCCAGTACCCAATGCCAGGTGTCCCAGAGGGAGTGAATCAAGCGATCTCTCTCCTGCCATCCGTCTCCACCCTCTGACAAACAGAGGCTAGGGACACCATTCTTTA